ACCCTGGGATCATGACCCGAGCCGAAGGCAGACGCCCAACGACTGAGCCACCCAGGCGCCCCAAGAAAAAAAAATTTTTAATTAATTAGGCCATGGAATAACAAAGAGTAAGGGTTCTACATGTTTTCAGATCCCATAATGGATAATATTGTAGTGCAAATCAACTTTACAGGCCCCAAATGCAAATGTGTAAAAAGATAACATCTATATTTTGCCAAACTATACTGAATTTCTATATCAAGACTCCACTTATGGTTAAAAGCAAAATAAATTTAGATAAACTCAGTCAACTGAGACTTTTTAAAAAGATTTATTTATTTATTTTAGAGAGAGAGAGAGCATGCTCAAGCAGGGGCAGGAACAGAGGGAGAGGGAGAGGGAGAGACAGAGAAGAAGACTCCCCACTAAGTGCAGAGCCTGATGCAGGGCTTGATCCCATGACCCTAAGATCATGACCTGAGCCAAAACCAAGAGTCGCGTGCTTAACCGACTGAGCCACCCAGGCACCCCTCAACGGAGTTTTTTTCCCTTCTCTTTCTCCCTGGTCTAACATCAATAGTTTATGTGGGGCGGAGAGCAGGGGGGAATGATACTGGTATGGTCCTTGGTCATCATCTATCCATGGTGGAAATTATTAAAGTATACACCATCTTTTTGACCTCGGGCATTGGCATATTTCCATGCTGCTATCTGCAGAGGCTTCATGTTTACAGGTGCCATGAGGTCCATGCTGGTACCCACGGCTGCATTCCCCAATCCCCAAGCCACAAAAACACAGTGTCCACAGGCTAGGTCTCATTCATTCTCTCCTCCTCCTACTCTCTGAACAGCTCATACAACGGGATGAGGGTGGGGATCCAAGACTGGACCCCAAGCCATGGGACCTCACAGCCTATTCTCTTGAGCACTTTGCTGTAGCCTCTGCTTGTTGGAGGAGGTTCATTTAATCTCTCCAGAGAATAATGTGGTCATTTATGTTAAGGAGTTTTAAACGTGTGCAAAATCTTTGATCCAGCAACTACTCTGCTGGATATTCTAAGAAAATAGGTGTCCACACAAGGATTTCTGTGCAAGCACGTTCTGTGAAGAATTATTTGTCAAAGTGAAAAGTTGGAAATTGCTAAAATTACCACCAATACGCAAATAAATTGAACTGTGATACAGCCATATGATGGAATCCTATGCAGCCATTATAAAATAATTGAAAAATTTTCTGTTTACGAACACAGAAATATGCCCACAATGGATTCAGTGGGGAAAAACACGATATAGCAGATCATTTTATGTTTGCAAAATTGTGTATTTCTATGTGTATGAATAGAAGAAAATCTTGGAAGAGATCATTTTAAATCCTAAAATGAAGTGGTATTCTTAAAATCATCAAATTTTATCTGTCCAAACATTTTACTGTATGCATGTGTGATTTATATTGGATGGGGAGAAAAAGCTCTCCTTATTAGAGGGTTAAAAAAAAATGTAGTACATGGAGATTGTTTGACCTAGACGCCCTATTTGGCTTTATTCTAACATGAAATTCCATGATTTCATAGAAATAATCCTGTCTGGATCAAAGAAGGCACTTTACCGTCCCTTCCTAACAAGCCAACCCTCTCTCCCTTACTTGGGATGCTGTAGGTTTACGGGACTGTCTTCCACATGAACCAGGGAAATCCATTCAAGCTGAAGGCCCTGGTGGACAAGTGGCCTGATTTCACAACTGTGGTTATCCGCCCTCAGGAGGAGGTAAGGTGCCAGATGTGGAATGAATATGCCTCTGTGTTCATTTTTGCTGTGTGCCTGCCAAGGGGCTGTGTGTGTGGCAGCCCCAGGGGATACAGAAATGAATTGTGTGATGGTGGGCAAGTCTCTGTCTTCAAGGAACTCACAGCCTAGAAGAAAAAATCAATAAGCAAATAAAACAACAGTGTGAAGTATGCAAGAACAGAAGATGTACAACACAGAAACAGCCCAGAAGAAAGCTGATTCAACTATGAAGGTTGGAGATGGAGGTTACAGGATAAGGCCAGAGACACTTCCTGATAAGAGGTTTCATCTGCACTGGATTTTGTGCATATTTTGTAGATAGTGTTAGGCTGACAAGAAAAAGAGGCCATTCTAACCAGAGAAAATGCCAAGGGCCAAGATAGGAAGGTGTGAGAGAATGATGAGTTAGAATGATTATAAAAAGTAAATTTATAAAACTATAATTTCCATATGCATTTGGGGGAGACATTTAAAGATTTGTTTATTTTTATTTTAGAGATAGAAAGAGAGAGAGAGCATAAGTCGGGGGAGGAGCAGAGGGAGAGGGAGAGAATCTCAAGCCGACTCCGCACTGAGCGTGGAATCTGATGCAGGGCTAGATCTTATAACACTGAGATCATGACCTGAGCCAAAACCAAGAGTTGGACACTTAACCAACTGTACCACCCAGGTGCCCACATTTTGGAGAAACACTTAAAAACTAGAGAAACTAAACAGTTAATACATTTCAGACAAAAATTCCTAAGCTTATCTTTAAACACCCAGTAAAAGCATAAATTTATAAAAATACAAATATAGCTTTCATAGAAATAAAATTATTTGAAAACCACTAAATTAAATAATATATAAAGAAATTTGTATTAGTAATAAAAACTGAACTGAAATAAAATTATTTAATCTTTTATGTTAAATGTGATCTTAAGGCCAAAATGTATTAGTGGGTATCCTTGCTGACTTGTCAGTGTATTTTGGGGCATATTTTCCAATTATTTTTTAAGAAGCTTTCTAATTCTGCACTGAGCTGTGGTAATATTTTCCCGTGCCTCCCTTTGCCCAATAATCTCATCTGTTATCGGAAGGAGTTAAGATGATGGAGGAGTAGGGGGACCCTAAGTTTGTCTCATCCCTCCAATACAACTAGATAGTTATCAAATCATTCTAAACACCCAAGAAACCAATCCAAGGTCTGAAAAAACAAATACAAGTCTACAAGTGGAAAAGCAACCACTGTTTGGAAGGTAAGAGGTACAGAGACTTGAATCTGGGGTGATACAGTTGAGGATACAGAGGCAGGGAGGGAGCCTACTTAAGGAGACTACTGCGAAGTATTATAAGCAGTGGAGTGCAGAATTGGAACTTTTAGTAGTCTGCTACAGTGGGGGATGTGCCCGGCTTAAAGGTGTTCAGGTGGCGAAGCGGCTCAGGTGGCTAATCGGGGCAGAATCCCAGGTGTGACAGCATGATCTCAGGATCCCCTGGGTTGCAAGAAGAAAGGGTGGTGCCTAAGTGCGGCAGAGTTTCCAGGTGTAGGAACGGGGAAGACAGCTGAGAACAGGGAGTGTAGTTGCTGGCTTTCTGCTCTGTGTTGCTATAAACTGCAAATGGCTGCGTGGTTGTGTGAAGCTTTCTTGCAAACAGGTCCAACAAAAAGCAGAAGCATATTGAGACCGTCCCTGGGAGGAACAGCCCGGGTCCCCACCACAGGAGTCCCTAAAATTTTGGAGTTTTGAAACTCAGTCATGTGCCTGAGATAAAAATGCTTGGATACATGTAGGGTGAACACAGAATCCTGACAAAAGCCAAGGAGACAAAAGGGATTGATTGCTTTTCTCTGAGGGCTCACTGATGAGTGGGCGCCGAGAATTTTCAGCTCCAGGGCTAGAGAGCCTGGCTCCCCCATTTTCAACCCCCGCTTCAGTGCTGAAAGCCTTCAGGGAGCAAAACAGCACCACCTAGTGGAGTCTGGAGCTGCTTACACTGAGCTCGGCCTCTGCACACTGGAGGAGCATTTCCACTAGGACGAGTCCACCTAAGAAGCAGCAAAACTGGTGCCTCCCACCAGCGCAAACAACTCGTTCACATCAAGTTAACTGATCATAGAGGTCTGCAAAGCTTCAGCTGTTGGGGAAAACAGTATATAGCATTCTTTGTATTTTTATCTTTTAGTCTTTTAGTATTATTTTTTCAGTTATTTCCTTATTTTTTCAATTATTTTTTATTCTTTTTATTTTTATTTTTATACATACTTTCTATCTTTATTGTTTCATTTTTTTGTTTCCTTTCATTGTATTGTATTTTATATATATACACATTATATATATATATATCATTGTATTGTGTTTTATATATATACACATATATGTATATATATTATATACATATATATTTTCTTTCTTTCTTATTTTGGGATCTAGTTTTTTTTAACAAGCAGACCAAAACACACCCAGGACCTAGGGGGTCTTTTCATTGTTGTTGTTTCTTTCTTCTATTCTTTTCTGAACAAAATGATAAGACAGAAAAATTCACCCCAAAAGAAAGAACAGGAGGTAGTACTCACAGCCAGGGATTTAATCAATATGGATGTAAGTAAGATGTCCAAACTAGAATTTAAAACAACGATTATAAAGACACTACGTGGGCTTGAAAAAAGCACAGAAGACACTAAAGAATCCCTTACTATAGAGATAAAAGAACTAAAATCTAGTCAGGCCAAAATTAAAACTGCTATTACCGAGATGCAGCCCCAAGTGTAGGCCATAAAAATGAGTATGAATGAAGCAAAAGAAAGAATCAGTGATACAGAAGATGAAATGATGGAAAATAAGGAAGCTGAAAAGAGAGAGAAAGAAAACTATTAGATCATGAAGGTAGACTTAGGGAACTCAGCAATTCCACAGAACAAAATAATATCTGTATTACAGTAGTCCCAGAAGAAGAGAGGGGGAAAGGGGAACAGAATAGAGAACCCAGAAATGGACCCTCAACTATATGGTCAAGTAAACTTCAGCAAAGCAGGAAAGAATATCTAATGAAAAAAAGACAGTCTGTTCAATAAATTGTGCTGGGAAAATTGGACAGTCACATGGAGAAGAATGAAACTGGACCAATTTCTTACACCATACACAAAAATAAACTTAAAATAGATGAAAGACCTCAATGTGAGACAGGAATCCATCCAAATCCTAGAGGAGAACACAGGCAGCAACCTCTTTGACCTCTGCCACAGCAACTTCTGGCTAGACACATCTCCAAAGGCAAGGGAAACAAAAGCAAAAATGAACTATTGGGACTTCATTGGGATAAAAAGCTTTTGCACAGCAAAGGAAACAATCAATAAAACTAAAAGGCAACCTACAGAATGGGAGAAGATATTCACAAATGACATATCTGGTAACAGGCTAGTATCCAAAATCTATGAAGAACTAAGCACAAACTCAACACCCAAAAAACAAAAAATCCAGTCAAGAAATGGGCAGAATCCCTGCTCAGCAGGGAGCCTGCTTCTCCCTCTGCCCCTCCCCTTGCTTGTGCCCTTTTTCTCTCTCTCTGTTAAATAAATAAAATCTTAAAAAAGAAAGAAAGAAAGAAAGAAAGAAAGAAAGAAAGAAAGGAAGGAAATGGGCAGAAGACATTAACAGACATTTCTCCACAGAACACATACAAATGGCCAACAGACACATGAAAAAATATTCCACATCACTTGGTATCAGGGAAATACAAATCAAAAGCACAATGAGATACCACCCACACCAGTCAGAATGGCTAAACTTAACAATGCAGGAAACAACATATGTTGGTGAGGATGCTGAGAAAGTGGAACCCCCTTACACTGTTGGTGGGAATGCAAACTGGTGTAGCCACTCTGGAAAACAGTATGGAGGTTCTTAAAAAAAGTTAAAAATAGAGTTACCCTGCAACTCAGGAATTGCACTACTAGGTATTTATCCAAAGAATACAAACAGTGATTTGAAGGGGCACCTGCACCCCAATGTTTATAGCAGCAACGTCTACAGTAGCCAAAATATGGAAAGAGCCCAGATGTCCACTGACAGATGAATTGATAAAGAAGATGTCGTTTATATATATACAATGGAATATTACTCAGTCATCAAAAAGAATGAAATCTTGCCATTTGCAATAACATGGATGGAACTAGAGGATATTATGCTAAGCGAAATAAGTCAGTTAGAGAAAGACAAATACCATATGATTTCACTCATATGTGTAATTTAAAAATAAAACAGATGAACATAGGGAAAGGGAAGGGGGAAAAAAGATAAAAACAGAGGGGGGGCAAACCACAAGAGACTCTTTAACAATAGGGAACCAACTGACTGTAGCTGGAGGGGAGGGGAGTGGAGGGATGGGGTAACTGGGTGATGGGCATTAAGGAGGGCGCTTGAGGTAATGAGCACTTGGTGTTACATGCAACTGATGAATCACTAAATTCTACCCCTGGAACTAAAAATACACTACATGTTAACCAAATTGAATTTACGTAAAAAAAAATTTTTTAAAGAATAATTTAAAAAAATAAAAAATAGAAAGCAAATCAAAAAAAATAATAATCTCTGGCGCCTTGGTGGCTCAGTTGGTTAAGCGACTGCCTTCAGCTCAGGTCATGATCCTGGAGTCCCTGGATCGAGTCCCGCATCAGGCTCCCTGCTTGGCAGGGAGTCTGCTTCTCCCTCTGACCCTCCCCCCTCTCATGTGCGCTCTCTCTCTCTCTCTCATTCTCTCTCTCAAATAAATAAATAAATAAAATCTTTTAAAAATAAATAAATAAATAAATAATAATCTCATCTGTTATTTAATAATTTGAGATGATCTTCCTAAATAAGTGGTTTCTTTCTTTTTGGAACTACACTTTAACTCTAGCATTGTTTTAAGAAAGCATTTCTAATTTTCATCTTCTTTGGCTTAAGTATATGTGGCAATTTTAATCCAGAACTAGCTACAACCAAATTTAATACTGTCACATTCATAAATGGTGTGTTCTGCAAGTATTTGAACTGTAGTAAAATTTATTCTTGCAACACTTTTCCTTATCAGTTGTTTTCCTCTTCTTCCCACTGAGAATAACAGAAGTATAGAAGAATGCTTTCTAAATTGTCTTTGCTTGATTTGAAATTTTAATGCAATATGTGGGTAGAGAGTATATTGTTATACAATTTTCTATCATAAATTGAATACTTGACTCTCTCCTCTTGATCTCATTATTTAAATGATTTAGGAATAATTGTAATGCACCAATAAAAATACCAACAATTTAGTACTTAAAAATATCACAGTATATCTCACATTTTGGTCCTTAGTATATTTTGAATGTATTCCATGCATGGTGTAGAAAGTGGTCCAGTTTCATTCTTTTCCATGTAGCTGTCCAGTTTTTCCAACACCATTTATTGAAGAGAGTCTTTTTTCCATGGATATTCTTTCCTGTTCTCTTGTCATAGAATAATGGACTATATAAACAGGAGTTTATTTCTGGCTCTCTATTCTGTTTCATTGATTTGTGTATTTATTTTTGTGCCAATATCGTATTGTTTTGATTACTACAGCTTTGTAATATATCTTGAAATCTGGAATTGTGATATCTCCATCTTTATTTTTCTTTCTCAAGATTGCTTTTGCTATCCAGGGTCTTGGTGGTTCCACACAAATTTTAATGTTATTTGTCCTAGATCTGTGAAAAATGCTGTTGGTATTTTGATAGGGTTTTCACTGAATCTGTACTTTGAGTAGTATGGACATTTTGACAATATTAATTCTTCCACCCCATAAGCATGAAATATCTTTCCCTTTGTTTGTGTCATCTTCAATTTCTTTCATCAGTGTTTTGTAGTTTTCAGAGTACAGGTCTTTCAATTCATAGGTTAAGTTTATTCCTACGTATTTTATTCTTGCTGATGCAATTGTAAATGGAATTGTTTTCTTAATTTCTCTATTACTTCATTATAAGTGTATAGAAACAACCAATTTCTTTGTATTAATTTTATATCCTGCAACTATACTGAATTTATTCATTACTTTTAAAAATTTTTGAATGGAGTCTTAGGGCTTTCTATGTACAGTATCATGTCTTCTGCAAATAGTGACAGTTTAACTTCTTTAACAATTTGGATGAATTTTATTTCTTTTTCTTATTAGATTGCTGTGGTTAGGACTTCTAGTACTATGTTGAATAAAAGTGGCAAGAGTGGGGGGCACCTGGGTGGTGCAGTCGGTTAAGTGTCCGACTCTTGGTTTCGGCTCAGGTTGTGATCCCATAGTCATGGGATCCAGCCCTGCTTCCGGCTCAGCACTCGGTGTGGAGTCTGCTTGAGATTCTCTTTTCCTCTCCTTCTGCCCCTCCCACTCATGTGCTCTCTCTTTCTGAAATAAATAGATAAATCTTTAGAAAAAAAATGGCAAGAGTGGACATCCTTGTCTTCTTCCCGACTTTAGAGGAAAAGTTCTCAGTTTTTCACCATAAGGGCTTAATATCCAAAATCCATAAAGAATTTACACAACACAATACCAAAAAACAAATAATCCAATTTAAAAGTGGGCAGAGGACCTGAATTAGATACTTTTCCAAAGAAGACATACACATGGCCTATAGACACATGAAAAAATGCTCAACATCACTCATCATCAGGGAAACACAAATCAAAACCACAATGAGATATCACCTTACAGCTGTCAGAAAGGCTACAATCAAAAAGATAAGAAATAACAAGCGTTGGTGTGGATATGGAGAAAAAGGACCCTCATGCACTGTTGGTGGAAATGTAAACTGGTACAGTCACTATGGAAAACAGTAAGGACGTTCCTCAAAAAACTAAAAACAGAAATACCATATGATCCAATAATTGCATTACTGGGTATTTACCCAAAGAAAATGAAAACACAAATATGAAAAGATAGATGCACCCTGATGTCTATAGCAGCATTATTTATAATAGCCAAGATAGGGAAGCAACCCAAGTGTCCATCAATAGAAGAATGGATTAAAAAAATTTAGTGTTTGTGGAGTTATTACTCAACCATAAAAAGAATGATATCTTGCCATTTGTGACAACATGGATGGACCTTAAGTGTATAATGCTAAGTGAAATAAGTCAGAGAAAGACAAATACCGTATGATTTCCCTCATACGTGGAATCTAAAAAACAAACAAGCAAAAAACAAAAATCAGAAACAAGGGGCACCTGGGTGGCTCAGTCAGTTAAGCATCTGTCTTCGGCTCAGGTCATGATCCCAGGGTCCTGGGATGGAGCCCCTGAGTTGGGCTCCTTGCCGAGTGGGAGCCTGCTTCTCCCTCTGCCTCTGCCTGCTGCTTTCCCTGCTTATACACGCTCTCTGTCAAAAATAAATAAAAATCTTTAAAAAAAAATCAGAAACAAATCCATAAATACGGAGAACTGATGATTCCCTTTTGTACAGGCTTCCTGTTACGGCATGAGTAAGTCATGGGGATAAAAGCTACAGTGTAGGGAATACAGTCAGTGATGGTGTCATGGTGTTATATGTGAGAGATGGTAGCTATACCTGTGGTGAGGACAGCATAGACTATAGACTTGTTGGATCACTATGTTGTACACCTGAAACTAATGTAACATTGTGTGTCAACTATACTTCAATTTTAAAAACTCACAGTAGAGTGGAATTTAGAAAAAAGTACTGCAATCATGAAATACTAAGAATTTGTTTTATTCCCCTTTTCCCAATGACAATAGGAGATGATAGACGATTTTGATCACTACACCAATACCTACCAAATCTACTCCAAGGACCTCGACAACTGTCAGGAATTCCTTGGCTCGCCAGAAGTCATCAACTGGAAACAGCATTTGCAGATCCAAAGTAAGAGAAATGGGATGCGTGCAGACTCACTTCTCTGTCCCGAACAATTTTCCCTATGAGTCGTATCTCCTACCCCCTGAGCTCTAGACCCTCAGCCTGCTGCCAGATTTTTAACTCACTCATAAAGGGAGGAAAAAATACCCTCAAAGCTTGCAAAGAATGGGTTTTATAAAGAACCATAATATAATTTCTTGATAGCCAAGGATTTATGGCATATTTTGCAGACATATCCAGGATCCCTTTGAATGACTGGATACCAAAGCAGAGCTTCCCCTAGGGCCTTCCATTCCTGGAATAGGAATGACAACTTGTGCTTTAAAGTACCTCCCATATCACGAAGGGCAACTGTCATGGTTGTGGACATGCCCCCAGAGTCAGACTCCCTAGAATGGCATCTGCCTGTTACTTGCTACGTGATTCTAGTCACATGACTTAACCTCTCTGAGACTATGACTTTCATATACAAAAATGAGGATAGTGATAGTTTCTAGAACACAGGGGCATTGGAAAGATTAAATGAAATCTTGAATAGGAATTTCTTACTACAATACCTGGATGGGTCTGTTAACTTTTGCCGTGTAGCAAGCCGCGTAATTCTGCGAATCAACAGTTTGGGCTGGTCTCACTTGGGTTTACTCATGCAGTTACAGTCAGTCGGTGGGTGGACTATGGGCCAACTACTGCAGCACAGCCTCAGGCACATGTTGGAATCATGGTTCTGGCTGTCAGGGTTGGCTGCCATGGTGATGGCATGTTAGGAGCCCGTGACCTCCGCAGGCTAGCCGAGGCCTATTCATATGGTATTGGTTTCAAGGTAATCGAGATCACAAGGAGAGGGCTAGCCCCAGTGGTCAAGCATTTTTAAGTTTTTCCCCTGCCTCAAATTTATTCTTCCCCACTGGCAAGAGCAAATCATATGGCCAAGGTTTGATGCAGTGCAGGAGATGACTCCTCCAGGGAATGGATACAAGGACATGTGGGCGATTGTAGGCCATTCCTGCAACAATCTACTACACTGAGGACACAGTAAGTGCACAATGGATGTGGACTACTATTTTTATAAAACACTCCTCTCCTTTCATTATCAAAACTACATGATTATGAAGTCCAGAAAACTTGGTTCCAGTCTTGCTTTGCCACTAATGGCTTAATGAAATTCTGGGCCCATTTTCACATAAGGAAAATGGGGAAAATTGCCCAGATCCTGCAGCAGCACTGAGCCTAGGTTCTCTGTAAATCCCAGACACTTCCTACTCCACTGGCGTGCTTCTCCACAGAATGTACTTAAACCACCGTCTCTCCTTATAATCCCATCCAGGTTCACAGCCCAGCCTAAATGAGGTGATACAAAACCTTGCAGCCACTAAATCTGTCCAAGTCAAGCAAACACGGTGCTTTCTCTATATGATGGCTAAAGCAGTAAAGAAACTGGTTCCTTCCCTGCTGGACGTAAAGAAGTTATCACCCAGCGATGGCAAACCCAAGGCCATGTGAGTTTGATACAAGTCACTCAGCATTACTCACAACTCCCACTGTGATGGAGCCTCCCGTTTTCGCTCCCTGCTTCCACTCTGGCCCATATGCAATCAATATTCTTCAATGTGGCCAGAGTAATTTAAAAAAAAAAAAAAATGTAATTCAGACCATGTTCCTCCTCTGCTGAAAATACTCCACCATTTCCTCTCTCATCTGGAATCTATCAAACTTCTGCCCACTTCTTTGATCTATCCTGTCCTTCCTGCAAGCTTGCTCCAACAACAGTGGCCTTTTTCTGTCCTTCTGTCACCGCAAGCTCACCGATACTCAGGGACTTTGCATCTGCTATTTCCCCTGACTACTCTGTCTCTCGAGACAATAGAGGTAAGAACAAACACAAACCTCCATACTCATGGACTTTGTTTTTCTCCTGGACCTCCAATAGCAACCAAGAGATGTTTAAACTCTCCTCCCTGGACGCTACCCACGCTCCCTTGGTGAATAAATTCTGGCATTTTGGTGGCAATGAGAGGAGCCAGAGATTCATCGAGCGCTGCATCCGGACCTTCCCCACCTTCTGCCTGCTGGGGCCCCAGGGGACCCCTGTGTCCTGGGGCCTGATGGACCAGACAGGAGAGATGCGGATGGCGGGGACCGTGCCTGAGTACCGGGACCAAGGCCTTATCTCTCACATCGTCTATTCCCAGACCCAGGCTCTAGACAAACTTGGCTTCCCCCTGTATTCTCACACAGACAAGAATAACAAAATCATGCAGAAGATGTGTTACAGGCTGCATTACGTCCCCATGCCCTGTGACTGGAACCAGTGGCACTGTGTGCCCCTGTGAAGCAGCCCTGAACACAAGACCATGTCAGATGGGCCTAAGCCTGGGTGGACAGAGGGAAATAAGAAATTGTAAATGTAACCATCACTAAGGGAATGGCACTACTTGGGCTCTGGGGAAGCAGCATGATGGGTCAACATGACCACCCTGGTCCCTGCACAAAAATTGCTGGCTTCTTTAGATTTATCAGTAGGAAGCAGCCCCAGGTATTCCCGATGTGGCCCCCACATAATTGAGCCCCCCACACTTCTGGGATCTCTGTGACACTCCTTCATCAGCTCCATGTTGCCCCAAATCGCTCCTCCTGGAATTCCTAGGACATGGATTATATTAGTAGAGCCTTGACAAATTTTCCGGGGAGGGGTAATATTTTCTGGGCATTATGATTTATTTCTCCTCCTTTCTACGGCTGCTTCCTTAGTTATCAGCTAGTGTGTTCTGCTCATTAGGTTTGTAGAGATTATCTTATCTTCTGATTGATGCTTTAGAAGTACATTAAATACATACAAATATATATGAGATGTTAGGTTAAACATAGTACACATGATATAGCAGAGAGAGTTAATAAGAAAAAGACATATGTTAGCCTGTCCTCTCCTCACTCCCACACTTCCCTAAACCCACCTGAACCCCAAACAATAAAGAGATTTTGTGTTTTACTGCATAAGGTGAAATGAAGCGGTTCATGATGGGGAGAGCATGGGTGAGTTTATGGAGAGAGGGAAGTGGGAGCAACCAGGGAGTGGATATTTATTGAGAAGAGACAGAAGATGATAGGGAGGGTATGGATATGTATTGCCCCACTTGCCCTCAGCATGTTATTTCAGGATGCCTGAATTCTATGAAGTTCATGGGAGAATCTGGTTGGGAGTGTGGCAGGTTATTCTTCCTGGTAGGGACAGATGAGCTGGGAGGGTTCCTTTGCCCCAGCAAATCACCTGGATTAAGAACCTGTTTCCTTCTGGTCCACCCAAGCCTGGCATTAGGCTATGGAATGGAGGATGAAATGCCCCACCCACCCACACAGAAATTGACTGAGGTTTAACTTCTTGGCCAGTCAATGTTTCTCAACCTTGGCACAGTGGATATTTTAGGCTGGACAATTCTCTCTTGTGGGGTAGGGACTGTCCTGTGCTTTTGTAGAATGCTTAGCAGGACCCCTGGCTCTACCCACTGATGCCAGGAGCATCCTCCATCCTAGTTATGACAACTAAAAATGTCTCCAGGTATCGATAAGTGTGTACTGCAGGCAAAGTACCTGTGACTGAGAGACACCGGTCTAGATAAAGGATTCTCAAACTTGAGCCTGCATCAGAATCACAGACTGTGATTTAACTGTCAGGCCTGTTAAAACACAGACTGTAGCCTAACTCGTAGATTTCTGATTCAGTAGATTTTGGGTAGAGCCCCAGAATTTAAATTTCTAACAAGTTTCCAGGTGATCCTGATGCTGCTGGTCCACGAACCAGGCTTTGAGAACCACTGGTTTAGAGAAATAATAGAACATATTATGTCCTAGAGCCATAGTTGAAAATTCATATTGCACACTACTTAGGCATATTGTTTTACTTTTGTAGGTATAATGTAAATTTACATTCGAATTGATAATATTATTTCATTATTAAGGAGGGCACGTGTTGCAATGAGCACTGGGTGTTATACGCAAACAATGAATCATGGAACACTACATCAAAAACTAATGATGTAATGTATGATTAACATAACATAACAAAGAAATAAAAATAAATTGCTAAAGCTTCTAAAACATTGTCATTAAACAGTGCAATAGGCAGACACCACACTATACTTTCACTACTTCCCCATAAAACCTGCTCACTAGAGAATGATTTTTTAATAAAGGAAAAGAGTATCTTCAGCTATTGAACACTGTTCCATGGAAAAACACAGACCTTTGGGTGCTAAGAGTTGCCCAGCATGACCATTTACCTGGGCTGTTGGAAATCTGACCTGAAGGATTTTTTGTAGTCAGGCTTCTGGTAGGGAATGAATAGGTCATGGGAATAAAAGGTACCTCCTAGGGAATATTGTCAATGATACTGTAATAGTGCTGAATGGTGACAGATGGTAGCTACACTTGTGATGAGCACAGCATAAGGTATAGAAATGTTGAACCACTATCCTGTACACCTGAAACTAACGTAACATGATGTGTCACCTCCAGTCAATTAAACAAAAATGAAAAAAAAAAAAAAAAGCAGGTGATTCTGGAAAAAGAAATCTAAAAAAGACTGCCCTGGGCCCTCACTGTGAGGGATTCTATCGGGTTTTCCTGATAGCCAATATAGCTGTAAGCTTACACAAAGACTTATCCCCAGATGATAAGAATTGGAAGAATTAACCCATTAAAAGTTGTAAAAGCAGTTTTTCCAGGGAACCGCTGAAAGCAGATAGTACACAGAAGATGACTGCCTGTAAACAAGCAAAACAAAAACAAAACCAGAAATCCAGATAAATTTCTCAGCTTCCACTAAAGACCACAGAAACAAGATTTTACTAAGAGTCCCATTCTCCTTCACATGTTTATATCCTTTCTTGTTTTGATTTTTGACTGTATTATCCTTTTTTCCAGCTTAAGGTTATCCAATTCTGATTTTCTGTCAAATATCCCCCTTAACTGCTGACTAACTTCTTTAGGTTCTTTTTTTGTTTTGAGAGAGAGAGAGAGAACACAGGGGGAGAGGAGCAGAAGGACAAAGAGAGATAGAATCTTAAGCAGGCTCCAGCCCAGTCCGGAGCCCAAGGTAGGGCTCGAGATCGAGACCTGAATCAAAATCAAGAGTCCGACACTTAACCAACTGAGCCACCCAGGCACCCCAACTTCTTTAGGTTCTAAGGACAATTCCATCTTAATTCTATAATTTATTTCTTTCAAGCTATTGCTAATGCAGTCAACTTAAAGAATTTCTACACATGGCCGCTCCTGGGGAAAACCCCACAAATAATGGACATATATTCAACTGATGCTATTGAACTTAATTTTGAACAATGATATTCTGGTCAACAACTAGGCTTTAGGAAGATTAGAAAGATACTATTGATAAACATTCATGGAATGTTTGCAGGAACAACACTTTTGTAAAGTTTTGTTGACAAGAATTGACCAAATTTGATAAAACTTATCAAATATTATCACTCAATCTTAACCACATGAATCACTCCAACACTCGGTCATACTAGCTTTTTGTGAGCTTTCAAAGGTATTTTCTTGGTATTAATACTGCAAATCAGATCCCAAAGACTCAAACATTTGCTTTTTATTTATTTGAGAGAGCGAGTGAATAGGGGGGTAGTGGCAGAGGGAGAGAATTGCAAGCAGACACCCCGCTGAGCACAGAGCCCCACGTGGGATTTGATCCCACAACCCATGAGATCACAACCTGAGCTGAAACTAAGAGTGGGATGCTTAACTGACTGAGCCACCCAGGCGCCCCCCACAAGGAATCAAACATTTGAAACTTTGAGTTATCCTAACAAAGTAATACAAGGTTCAAAATTCTTAGACACAGAAAGAAGTTTAAAGATGGTACAGTACTGTTACATTAATCTTACCAATAATTATACTCTTTTCATACAGTATATAGAAGGAAATGTCCTTGTGCTGTAAAAATGGACATATAAAATACTCCTGAGAATCAGAAACTGTTTGTTCATAGTAAAACCAAGATATGCAAACCCCACAGCATTAGCAATTTAAACATACCTCATGAAAGTCTCTTGTCTTCTTATCCTCTAAGGGAATCACATTCTTTTATGCCATGCCAGGACTGTGGGAATCTTAGGCCATTCCAGTGTATCTCTCCCCCAACTCCCTCAGTGGACCATGTGTCCTTTCAAAGAGTCTGAAAATGTCAAGTACACCTGTAATTATACCTGCTAGCTGATGAGACACCTCTTGAGAACTGGAACTGGACAGCCCAAGGTGGTCATCTATTACTGTGCTTCCAATTATCTCTCATAACAAATAATACTCGTCAAGCCATATAGCAATATCAAATTAGCTTATGTACTTCAGCCCACAGGGTTAGGGGTACTAGAATAGGCTTGGATTTTCTTTGGCCAACTGGTAGGAATCTATGCCATTGCAAACACACTGCATTAACACCAAAGGTGAGTTGGAACAATCTAGTCTAAGAGAAATAAAATCCTACCTGACTTCAAATGGTTTCTTCCTCTCCTAAGTTCCCTTATGAGATGGAGCAAACTTCCAATACTTTTATCTGTTTTCAAGTTACTTCATGTCTGCTAAGATATCTGGTTACAGGGGCGCCTGGGTGGCTCAGTTGGTTAAGCGACTGCCTTCGGCTCGGGTCGTGATCCTGGAGTCCCGGGATCGAGTCCCGCATCGGGCTCCCTGCTCGGCGGGGAGTCTGCTTCTCCCTCTGACCTTCCTCCCTCTCATGCTCTCTGTCTCTCATTCTCTCTCTCTCAAATAAATAAATAAAATCTTTAAAAAAAAAAAAAAGATATCTGGTTACATTTGGATAATGTTTTAACATGATTTTGCTTTTCTTCAATACCAGGAGTCTCAAATTAAGGCAAAGGTTTATCTAACTTTGTGACTTGAACATTTCCACTTACATATAATGAGCTGGTTAAGAATAGTTGCCTTGAGTCAACACCGACCGATGAGGAATTTGATGAGGATGTTTAACAGGAAAAACACATGCAGTTATCTGGACTGTGTAGGACTGTGCTGTAGGACAACATATCATCTCTTTTTTACATTCTTCTCTTCGTTGCATCATTTTTCTCTTTATTAGCATGATCATATCAAAAAGGGTTTGGATCTCCAACCACAGGGAAAAGTATTTCACTCAGTATTTTGAGAGACACATTTACACAGGCAACCTAACCTACATTAGGGTAATTTTGTTTTGTTTTGTTTCACTTAAGAAACACAATAGGGGCGCCTGGGTGGCTCAGTCGTTGGGTGTCTGCCTTCAGCTCAGGTCATGATCCCAGGGTCCTGGGATCGAGCCCCGCATCGGTCCCCCTGCTCCGCGGAGAGCCTGCTTCTCCCTCTCCCTCTCCCACTCCCCCTGCTTGTGTTCCTGCTCTCACTATCTCTCTCAAATAAATAAATAAAATCTTTAAAAAAATAAAAAGAAAAGAAAAAAAAAGAAAAGAAACACAATATATATTTTATATTCGTCAGGAACTTGTCTAAGCATTTCACTAATGTTAGCCTATTTAATTAAAAAAACAACAACAACTAGTAACAGTGGGTAGTATTATTAACCCCACCTACAGAAGAGGAAACTAAAGCATAGAGAGATTAGATAACTGGCCAAAGACACACAACTGGTAAATGGTAGCCTCAGGATCCAAACCCTGATATACAACCAGAATTCCAAACTTGCAGAACCAGTTCTCTGAACCTTTGACCCAGAGGGAGAAACTGAATGCCTCTGGTTCCTATACTAGCTAATAGAAACTTATCCACACCTCCAGCTTTTTAAAAGGGCAAGGTCTACATTAAGAGCTTCAGCTTAGTGATTTTTGTAGAAAATTTATTGGGACTTCATCAACATAAAAAGATTCTGCACAGCAAAAGAAACAGTCAACAAAACTAAAAGGCAACCTACGGAATGGGAGAAGGTATTTGCAAATGACTTATCA